GCCTGGACCCTTTCTCTCTCTTTTGGCTCCTGACCACGAGGTGAGCAGTGTTGTTTTCCATATGTTCTCCCCATGATATGTTGTCTTGCTTATGCCCTAAGCAATGACTAGAATGTCCAAAACCAAAATAAACCTTTTCTCTTATGTTAACTTAGATATTTTTAAAGCTAGTCTAAGTGCTCTGCAATAACATTTAGTGTTCATACTACCAAGAGCTAAGTATCACATTCCACAAGTTTGAGGGCTTGATCCTGTAAGTTTGCCTTCACATAAAATACCAGCTGCAATTATTAAGTCCTGAATTAACTACATTTCTATTTAATTTGACTTAAATTGGAGAGTTTCCACAACAACGCACGGAGGAGAATCTTCTAGAATGACTCAGAATTCAGGAAGGTATTTTACTTAGTATTACTACTTTATTATAATACTACTACTCAGAAACAATCAGAGAGGCAGGAGGGTTGTTGTGAGTTTGATACCAGCCTGGGCTACAAAGTGAGCTCAAGGCCAGCCCGAACGGCATAGCGAGACCCTGTCTCAAAAAGAGGGAAAAAAACCCCAAGAAACAATCAGAAGAAATGCATATGGCAAGAGGCTTCCATGTCCTCTCTGGGGATGCCACCCTTCCCACACCTCAGTGTCTTCCCTAAAGCTCTCTAAACCTTATCTTTTTGATGGTTTTTATGGCAGTCTCATTAGACAGGGGTGGCCACTGGTAATTAACTCCATTTTTGGCTCTTCTCTCCTTCTTGGAGGCTAGAGGGTAGAACTGAAAGATAAACCTTCTAATCAAAGCTTGGTCTTTCTGGTGACCGCTCCCCATTCTGAAGTTATCCAGGGGCCAGCCAAGAGCTTCTCATTAGAAAAAGATGCCCTTATCCCTCTATCAGCTGGAAATGCTCAAGGGCTTTAGGAGCTCTGTGCCAGGAACCAGGGACAAAGATCAAGTATCTTTATGATACCACAGTGATGAATCAGAAATATAATTCCAGTCAAATAAAATGATTTTTAACAATTATTTCTGTAGATGGTAAAATGTATATCCTTTCTAGTTATGGATGGTTAGGGGGAAAACTTTATTATGGCTATTTTAATGTAAGGTCCAATGTCCTTTTAAATGAAAAAAGGACCCACAGAGTAAATGTTATCATTAGAGTATTACATGAGTTAATATTTAAATGCAAATTAATAATTTGATATAGATTTGTATTGAGATCAAAAACAATCTTCGAAAACTCTACTATAATGAAGAGATACACCTGAAGTATAGTTATTTGTAAGTTTAAAACTATGTAGGCTTTCATTTAAGGGGGTAATACTAAAATCTAAAGGTTTATTAAGCTGTAGGGTTTAGAGTACTACATTTTATATATAATGTCTTCAGGTTTTTGTGCATTTGGTAGTGCAGGAAGAACTTCAAAATCCTACTAAAAAGAAGCTCCTGCTGGGTATGGTGTTGCAAGCCTGTAATCTCAGGCATTCCAGAGGCTGAGGTAGGAGGATCGAAAGATTGGGGCTAGGCTGGGCAACTTAGTAGATCCTGTCTCAAAATATAATTTTAAAAAGGGCTGGCAGCATAGCTGAGTGACAGAGTGCTTGCCCAGCATTTGTGATCCCCAGCCCCAAAAAGAGAAGGCAAAAACCCTCCTAATAATCTAATATAAGCAACATAACCTAGCATGGGACTGTGACATGGCAGGTGTTTTTCCTTCTTGTTCCTCCCTTATTAGTAGGTGTATTCTCTATGTTATGAATTAGGTCAAAGGAGTGTTATCATGACAGAATGAAAAAATCATGATTGTAAGAAGAAAAAAGACCATCAGATGTAAACAAGAGCTGAAATAAACACCCTCTGCTCTGTTATGAGGAACCCATCTTCCTTAGGTTTTTGTTCTCAGCCACATCAAAGAGAAGCACCTGCGGATATGTTCTGCTGCATATACTTTTGCGGAGAAAGGAAGCATAGTAATGGCATCCAGATGAAGAAAACTGTCCTTAAAGTCGTTTACTTACAACAGATTACCCGGAGGTCAAATACCATTGTATTAAAGCTGGAAAAGCATGTTCTATTTTCAAAGGAGCAGATGATGCTAGGTCTCCATAGAATATGTAATTAGTATGTCTTGAGTGATGGTGTGGGAAAAGAAAGACTTTATAGAGTATCTTGGTACTATGGTGGCATAAACATAAATACGTAAAATTAGATTCCAAGTAAACAGTAAAATGTGATATATGCTAAAAGGACATTTTAAAGTAAATGTGTGAAAATATGTCCATATATAATAAGCACAAATTACACAGAAGTTTGGGAATACTCTTTTTTTTCTAGTTTGTACTGAAATATCAGTGAAAAGTCACTAAATTACACAGCTGCACAGGCATGGGAAGAGGCTTAGGAGGAAGCTGTGAAATTTCGAGGGAAAATGCAATAGACTGACTTCATTTTAAAGCTTAAAAGGATGTTTGAGATAATAGCTGCTTCAGGGTTTAGTCAACAGAACTACATTTTAATCCATTTATGCAGAAGATTGTAACTTTTTCAAGTTTTACATGAAATTCATATATGTTACCCGGAAAAATTCAAGGAACAAGAATTTGAAGAGAAACAGTTTCACTATGTTCCACTGTAATACGTGCTCTGAAGTTTAAACAGTAGGTAGTGAAGGTCTATGTTGTAAACTAGGCATGGTGGCACATACCCGTAACTCCAGCTACTTGGGAAGTTGGGGTAGGAGGGCTGTAGGTTTTTGAGGTTAGCCTGGGCAATTTAGTGAGATTCTGACTCAAAATAAAAATAATGAGGTCTGGATTTGTGGCTCAGTGATAGAGTCCTTGCCCAGTATGAACAAGGCCTTGGGTTCAAATCCTCAGAAACAAAAATAAAAAGAGGAGGCCTTTTATGTTTAAAATTCTTAATTACAAACAGTACATACCTTTAACGTGTTCACATGCCACATTTTAACAATAGAGTCCATCAACACATTCACTTCAGTTACTAGTAAAATTAGCTTTTGCGAAGAATTCAGAATAAAGCTCTTCCATCATTCTGAGATTCTTAGTCACTTTCTCATCTGCTGAGACACAATACCTGATACCTACAACTCCAAGGAGAAGTTTATTTTTGTTCACATTTCAGTTCATGTTCAGCTGGCTTCAATGAAGAAACAGCATACTAGAGAAACATAGCAGAGGAAAAGCTGCTCATTTCATGGTAACCAGGAATCAGAGGGTGAAAGGCCCTGGGGTTCTCTTCTCAATTGAAAGCTTCATAGCCTGGCAACCTTGAGCCTGACATCAGTGGAGTGTTTCAGATTTCTCACATGCCTTGGAGTGTTTCAGATTTTTCATGTCTTCAAGGCATCTCTCCTATTGTCTTGATGTAGGTATATGGCTTCTTTTTAATTCTAGTCTTTTCAGCAACCAAGCTCTCTTTCATTCCAACTTTATAGGCCTGTTCTTTTTGCTAAAACTAAAACTTTTTAAATGGGCTCTTTGTTCCTATTTTTCAGCATAAACCTGGTCAAAAGCAGCAAGCAATATCCATGTTACAACCTGAACACTGGGGCTACCTTAAAATTATGATTTTAGAGCAGATTATTTGGTGCACCTCCCCTAATCTCAGTCTCTCAATTTTAGGAGGAGTAAAATGTAGAGACATTTTCTGCCAGGGCATACATGGCCTGGTGTCCAACTGCCAATGGAGTCCCTGTTCCCAACTGAAAACTCCTGAGCCTGGTGAATTTTCTCACCAGAGAAAACTGAGCCTGGTAAAACTCCTGAATTTTTTTTTTTTTTTTTTTTTTTCTCCGGTACCGGGAACCGAACTCACGACCTTGTGCATGCCAGGCAGGCGCTTTTGCCGCTGAGCTAAATCCCCAGCCCCCAACTCCTGAGTTTTTACCATCTGACTTTTTATCATCATTTTGGTCTTCTAAGATCTGACACCAAAAGCATTATACTAAGTCAAAGAAGTCTGATCGTCATATAGTGTTTGGTTTCATCCATGTGATACATTCAGAATACAGACACTCATTCAGACGGGAGGCAGACTGGTGGTTCCCAGGGAATGGGGTTAGTAAAGGATAGTGAGTAACTGCTAAATGGACACAGGGTTTCTTTTTGGGGTGATGAAAGTATTTTGGAATTACACAGAAGTAGTGATTGCAGAACACTGTGAATGTACTAAATGCCACTGACTTTTTCACTCCCAAACAACAAATTGTAATTGTTAATTACAACAATTAATTATAAAATTTTCCTTAAAGGAAAACAAAACCAGTGCTTTCTCAGTAAATTTGAGTACTTTTTTATCTCACAACTAAGAAATGGGTTTTGGACTACAACCAACCTGGAAGACCCCAGTCAACAGTTCTATTGCATAGAATACTATGTTGCTTGCTTTACAAGGGCTTACATGATTGGAATAAGTGACCTTCCTTGACTATTCCAAAAAGTAGTTTCTCAGACTTCAGTGTTTACTGGCAAATTTCTAACAGTGTATTTGTGTAAAGTTTGTCACTTCATTCTCCATACACTACAGTTGCCATCACTGATCCCCAATTTGCTTGCTTTTAAGTTACTTGGTCAAAAATCCTTCCTTCTTAAAACACAGAAAGTTAATAAGCATCTCAAGCTTTTGCTTTTCTGTTTTAATGATGCTTGCACTATCGGATTATTCTAGTGCTGTCTCTTTTGTTTGGCATATAATCATGCACAACCTTTTATTTCTTTGAGGTGGGAGTATTTTATCGTTTCATAATGTGATGATCGAATTATTAAGTGTGTTTTCTGAAGGTCAAAAATAAAGATATATTAAGCAGGGTCACTGGTCCAGGTGCAAGGCACACTTAAAGCAAGTTTTATGCTTGATTGTATTGTCTTTGTATATTATAAACACTTATTTAACTTGTTGCAGTTTGAAGAAAAAAATTTCCAAAATATATGCTGAACAATAATCATTAAAATGTCTGTAGCACACAGCAAAACACAACACATACCTTCAAGACAAGGCTGATGTTGCTGAGGTACCGTGTCTGGTTCTGGAGGTCCAGCTACTTCCTCAGAAACATACTTTAAAAGCTCCTTCCCAAGATACGTTACCTGCACATAATTTAAAACACAACTGAAAAATCATACATTCTATAAGAGACAAATACATCTATCTCCTGAAAATAGTCATTTATTTGTAAAGTATTGATTAATACACCAAACTACGGCTCATGACCAAATCCAGCCTGTCACCTCTTTGTCTAAATAACATTTTATTAGAATAAAGTGACACTCATTTCCTTAGCATTTTTGGTTTGTTTTTCTTCCGGTACCGGGGATTGAACTCACGACCTTGTGCTTGCCAGGCAGGCGCTGTTCCGCTGAGCTATCCTTAGCATTTTTGGATGCTTTTGTGCAGAAACAGAATTGAGAAGTTGTGAAACAGACTATGTGCCTATGAAATCTGAAGTATTATTTACTGTCTGGCCCTTTACAAAAAAATTTTGTTGATTTTTGTAGTATATCATTAATCCTTTCATACATATATTTGTCCAACAACCATTAATATAGCATCTGATACTTTATTACTTCAAAAAAGTAATAGTAGATTAATACAATTAAGTCATACAAGTAATGGTACTCTTCCAGAAAAGGAGATAGCAACCTTAACATTTCAGGACTAGACATCCATTTAAAAATTCTTGTTTGTGAATATAGATATTAGTATCAGCTCCAAAGGCCGGAGTTTAAAAGTATCTGTACGTGAATGGGCAAGGCTGAGGCAACTGGCAAATAACTGCCAAAAATATTCTGGACTCAAGGGGGCAGGTTCAATGTGGGCAAAATATTAAGTCTCAAATTGGACATCCTTTCCTTGTCTTCCTGTAACTGCTAAGCCTAAGTAATGACCATACACTAGGCTTTCGTAGAATGAAGGATGGTTTCATTCTTAAATTCTCCTTATTTCTGTGCTCCTATTCCTGCCACAATATTTATTCCATTTAAATAAAATTATATTTTAATGTGCCTCATTTCCATTAACCATAAGCTTGAGGATATGGTCTGTGTCATGTTTATTTTTGTAACTTCAGCACTTCACAGCTGGCATTATTTAAAGTTCTAATGCTAAAGCAAAAATCCCTAAATTCCAAGCCTCAGTTTGTACATTTGTAAAACAACCTTCAGTTTACCAAGTACTGAGTATTAAAAGAGATAATGCACAAAAAGCACTTGGTATCCTAATGGCCCATTAAATCAAACAGCATGAGAAAAGTATAGGGGATGTGTAAGGCATAGAAACCCTCTGAGCTCAAGCCCACAACTAAAAAAGCCTTGATAACATGGGACATATCTGGTCTGCCCAGTGTGCCAACCCTTCCTCATTTGCCAAGAAAAGGAGATGAGATGCCCCTGAATGCCTCTCCAAACAATCAACAATGAGAAAATGTATTTTGCATATGTTACACCCTGACAATGCCCAACACACCTTATACACTCATTAAAGTACAGTTTTTGTATGTCTGACCCTATATCTCATACTTTACAAGTATATTTCAGCTGAGTGTGGTGACATGTGCCTGTAATCCTAATACTTTGGGAGGTCAAGACAAGGAAGATAACAAGTTCAAGCCCATCCTGGATAATTTAGAAAGACCCTGTCTCAAAATAAAAAATAAAGTGCTAGGGATATAGTTTAGTGCAAAGACTTGGGTTAAATCCTCAGCACTGGGAAAAAAAAAAAGTAACTTTTTTATCACTTAGTGATGGATAATAAGGTGGTAGTATAAAGTGCCTTCCACACACTACTGGAGGTAATTCAGCCATACAAAAATATAGCTTTAAGAAAATCCACTTAATTAAAATCCATTTTCCACAAGGAAGGAATGATTTATTGACTAGGTTAATGAAGAGACCTTGTAGTGAACAGGCATTAGGGCAACTGAAAACTGCATTTCATATTGTTGTCCATGTTCCAGCGGGCTGAAGCATAAGAACCAACAGTCATCACATCTGTATGCAATTCAAATCCTGATTCTTAAAATTTCACTGGCTCCAAATTTCACATGTCTACTCAGAGAGGCAAAGCTGTTGGCTCATTTGTTAGGTTCTTGGACTTCATGGTCTCTGGTGCTCTCAGCAACTTTGCCATCCAAAACCCATACTGGTGAGGGACAGCTGATGGCATGGCATCTTCCCCAAACAAGAATACGTGAGGGAATGACGTTTAATGCAAGCTGCCTTCTGTGAAGATGTCTGTAGGTTGTTGTGCTCTGGCTTTTCTAACAGGCAGAGCTGCAGGTGTGCTTTGTTCTAAAGCCACTGATGCTCTTCCCAAGACTCTTATAGCAAAAGGAACATTATTCCTCAGACATCAGGCTGTTCCGATTCCCTAACAGCATGCTAAGGAAGGAGCAGGGTGCATGCACTGTGTGTGTGCATGTGTACATGTATGGATGAGGTAGATGATTCAGCCAGCTGCCCTTCTGGACCATACTTAATGAAACAAATGAGATTAAATCAATTAACTTTTATTTTAGTAAGATCTGAAGAAATAACGCCCAATATTAACAGGGCAAAACCTTGCTCAGCTTCTGAAATTAGATGATCTCAGACATGTTTGGGGTACATGAACATACAGGGTACAGCCAGACTGTAAAGGTATTTTTTTTTCAGAAGTGGGCCATTTTTGTTGCATGTGCTCGAGGCTTTGCATACCTTTATCAAGGTGGCCATATGACACTTGGTGCTCTTCAAGTTCATGGTAACCCCACTTCCAATGAAAAGAATGCGGGCCTACTGTGTGCCATTGTTTTAAGTGAAGAAATAGTGTGTAGAGAATCAGAAGACCAGATTCTGGTTCTGCCACCTATTGGTCTTGAGGCTTATCATTTCGCTTAACCTACAACTATTTTCAAATGCCTAAACAAGGATAATTGAATCTTCTTGCTCCAAGAAGATGTTGTATAAAGTGATTTATATTCCACACAGTGCAGATACAGTTCCTACAATCTTCAAGCTGGAAGGCTCTTTAGCCGTCATCTAGCACTCTTTATTTCATATACTGTATAGGAACACTGAGGTTTAGAAAGGCTGAATGACTCGATCTAAGCCAATGACTCTCACTCTAGGGTGCAGATCAGAACTGCCTGGAAAGCTTTTTAACTACTGATACCTGGTCACTGACCCAGACTATCAAACACTCGATCTGGGGTCCCCTAGGCATGGGTGGTTTTTTAAAGCCCTCCAAGTAATTCTAATGTATAGCCATGATTAAAAACTGCTGCCTAGATCAAGTAACTTTAAAACACTGAAAACGGGAAGTAGCTTGGCCTCTCATCCAGAGATCACACTGCCATTTGGGAATGACACCTTATAGCTGGTCGGCAGTGGCAGGAGGAGAAGTCAGGGATGCCTGCTGAGAGTAAGCACCAAGGTTCCCTTGATGAAGTTGCAGAGCCACCCAGCTACTTCAGTGGGAGGAATGAGTCATATCTGTGTCTAGTGGCTGTGCTGCACTGTCTGATGTAGAGCAAGACCTAGTTTTCTGGCATTTTGTGCCCGACAACCAATCATCTCTAGTCCTACACCCTCACTAATTCTCAGAATTAGTCAGTAAATATGTTCATTTACTGGTGCAGCTGAAAGCTCCTTTCATCGAGAAATGACTGTGAAGGTCCTCTGAGACAAGAGGACGGAGCAGTTTTTGGGGTAAACTTTAAAAGGGAAGATTTTAAAAGAAATTAAAAATATTGTAAGAAACTCACTGGGGTTGTTTTTCAGCCTGAGGTATTCAATAAAAGTACATGAGTACCTCATAGAAGTTTTTAAAGCTCTACTTTCATTTTTTTTGGGGGGAGGGATAATTTTTTTAAAAAGTCATCTAAGCCTGCTCAGTAATCTGTAGGAATACCTTATAGCCAAGAACTGCCTATATTTTCATGTCTATATTTGGCTGCATTTGGCTTCACTACCATAGGGGTGCTAAACAGTAGGAGTCTAATTGGCTTGGCTGATGAGAAAACACTAGGCAATGTGATATGTAAATGAGGCATTACTACAGTGTGTGTGCTAATGATGTTAAAGCAGCTATTTAAAGGCAGGAAATGCAGAATCATGAAATACCCAAAGAGTGGGAGAACTGAGTGTTACTGGGCACATTGCATCACAGGGATGCCAAGGTCAAAAGAACCTACGCTACTGGAATCGGTAACAGCCTTGCTGTGAGCAAAGATTTCAGTGGCAGCAAAACAGTATAATCTACCATAATTTAAAAAAATCTTATAGTGAAAAGGGATTTTCACTGGCAAATGTTAATTATTAACATTCATTATGAATTATGAATCCATGAAAAGGATTGAGCAAAGGAGTTAGGGTGAACTGAAAGTGGATGACCTGGTGATTTTAGAAATGGGGTAAAAAAGACTCAGTGTTCTGGTATAACAGAAGGAACCAAAATACCATACTGCAAGCAACTACCACAAAGGTCTAGGACAGTGATGGTGAGCTTTCAAAGATAAAGTGCTGGCTACAGAATGCGTGCAATAGGTTTCCCACCACTGTTCTAGGAGATCAGGATGCAGAACTGGGGTGGAGTTTGGGGTAGTGCAGAAGCTGGCACTGGGAGTGGGCAAAGGGGGCTGGACAAAGAGAAAACAAACTGTGCCTATTACTGGTGTCTGGAGGCTGACTGAAATGGCTAGAGGAGGTTAACAGTATCTTTTATTATTTGAAACAGTAATGGAGGACTAATGATACACACTTTTTTGAGTGAATCACTAAGGCTGTTCCTGAGTGTGGTCATGGGCACACAGAGGTAGATGACCACTGCATCAAAGGGTGTCAGTCACTACTGACAGGGCTTTTAACACAGAAGCCAGAAATGAGAGGCTCTGAATGAAAACACTTCTTTTTGAGAAAACTATTTCCTTCAGCAATCTGTGAATATTGCTATGTGCAGAAATAGAGTTCAGTGTAATTTCTATGAGTCTTGGGTTTCTTGCCCATTCCTTTTGTATGGAGGGGAAGATTTTGTTTTATTAGAATAATAATAACATGTATTAACTACATTATCAATGCATCAGTGGTCTCAAATTTTCCATACGGAGTCACAAAGACCTGAAATCTACTGAGAGGAAAAAGGAAGATTAGGGGCAATAAAGTTTCTGAGCTGAGAGAAGGAGCAAGGAAGTGGAGATGCAGTCAGCTGCACAGCCACGCTCACAGGAACGCTGGCAAGTATAGCTGTGCGTGAAAGCAGGTAGCATACATAGCAGAGACGTGAGCACAAAACTAGCTTAGAGATGGTTCATATTTCTTTTAAAAAATATTCCATCATCAATATATACATATTTTCCATTTGAATATAAAATTAAAGACAAATTTAAGAATGACTTTAAAAATATTCCATCATCAATATGTACATATTTTCCATTTGAATATAAAATTAAAGACAAATTTAAGAATGACTCACCTTACTCCAAGCATAATTCCAGGTCACATAACTGTCACCTCCCAGAAGATCCTTCAGCCAGGTGACTGGATTTTGATAAATCTGACCATTTTCTACTTTAATTTTACCACTCAATAAAATACTGGCCTTATGGGTAGTCTCCTAAAGTAAAAAAAAAAAAAAAAAATTAAGATAAAATTTACTGAAATGAACGAACTTCTATTTCTGGCTATGATGAAATAACAGGGACCAAATTTAGCCTAACACAACTAAAAGCTGACAAAATATTTGAAATAATGGTTTACAAGACACCAAACATGAGACAGCAAAGTACAGCAATCCCTGTGTGGTAAGAATTTAATGTGGTAAAAGCTCCCAGGTCACAGTGTAGAAAAGGGAATCCAGGCAAAGCCTGTGGACTCACAAAGATGATGAGACAGAGCTAAAATTCTAGGGACATAGGGGGCTAGTGTCTGAAGCACAAAGTACTTAAGAACAAAGAAATAAAAAAGAACCCTGTAGCTCTTCAGAAGATCCTTCTCTTTAAGTGATCAGTGTATATTTGTGAGGAAATTGACCAAGATTTAAAAAAATAATCACTTGAAAGGATTAGTGGTGATGATACTGGGGTACTCTCACAGGGCAGGAAGTAATGCCCTTAACAAGAGAAGAAAAACCTCAAGGTTGAGGGGACATTCTTAGGGTACATAAATAGTAGAAAATAGCCCTAGACCTGATACTGCTCCAATCCTGTATAACAAATCTTAACAACACTCAAAAGGACCAAATTACTTTCAAGTAATTTAAAGGTATTTTAGGACAAATTTCCAAATATATTTATAAGAATACAAAAATATCCAGCATTCAATAAGCAAATTTCAGTGTGAGGGATCCAATTAAAAAAATCAACAAGTCCCAAATCCAATAATATTAACATAAAATGTGAATGAATTAAATAATCTCATCAAAAGGCAAATACTGCCCCACTGGATTTAAATATAAAGATCCCACGATATAGTGCATCCAGGAGACAGACATGACATTAAAAAAAACAGGTAAACTAAAAGTAAATGGATGGAAAAATATACCACCAAGAGTAACTGCAAGAAAACTGAAGTAGATATTCCAATACAGTATCAGACAAAATAAGACTTTAAAACAAATATTGCTACTAGAGACAAAAAGGGACATTTTATAATGCTAAGAAAGCCACTGAATCAAGAATATAAGACAGTTATAAATACGTACGCACTTAAACTACAGGAGAGAACCAAAACACAAAATTAATTGAACTGAAGGGAAAAATAAAGAATTCAACAGTAAGAGTTGGAAAATGTCAATGCCCTGCTTTCAGTAATAAAGTATACAAATCAAACAGGCAGAAGATTGATGAAGAAAGACTTCAACACTGTACTCCCACCAGGCAACAGGCATCTATAGAAAACTTCATTCAACAGGAGGGAATATATGGTCTCCATTGCACACGTACATTTCCAGAATACAACATTAACTAGCAAGGCCATAAAATAAGAACTGAAATAATATAAAAAAATTCTCCAATCACAATGGAATGAAATTAGAAATAACTACAAAAGTGGGATGCTCACCATTATATGAAAATCAAACAACATATCTCTAAAGAACCAATGAATCAAACAAGTAACCAAAATGTAAATTAGAAAATACTTTGAGAGGATTAAAAGAAAACATTGAAACTTAAGAAAACCAGGAGTTGGAAAGATACAGCTTGCCCAGGAAGCCGCATGGCAGGGAGTGCTGGCTTTTGGGCTGGCCCCTAGCCACGCAGGTGTGCAGGAGGTGGGCACTCGGCACCCGGGAAGCCGTGCGTCGGCGAGTGCTGGCCTTTGGGCCGGACCCTAGCCGCACAGGCGCCTGGGAGGCAGGCCGCCTGAGCCTGGGAAGCCACGTGGCGGGGAGTGCCAGCCTTTGGGCCGGCCCCTAGCTGTGCAGATGCCTGGGAGGCGGGCACTCGGTGCCCAGGAAGTGGCATGGTGGTGTGCGCCAGCCCTCAGGCCAGCCGCCATCGCGCAGTCGAGAACTATCATGGCACAGAGAAGCAATGACATAATTGGTCCGCTATGTACTGGCTGTGGAGGCCCGCCCAAGGATGTGCGTGAATCATCCCAACATGGAGAAACCCCTGGGAATATGTGCCAGACAATGGGTTGCTTTTGCCCCTGCCATTGAGAACCAGAAAGGTCCAGGGTCACTGGAAGAGCAGCTGCTGAACAAGGGCTCAGAGAACACGAGAATA